TTTTCGCAAAACTACTTAAGCATTTTGGCATTCGCCTCGTCCACAAGGCCGCTCACCGGCCGTCAGCCAACGGGTAGAGCATTTTTATAAACAATTGAAAAGTGCTCTGGCAGGACAGGCGAACCCAGACTGAAAGGAGTCTCTACCCTTGGTCCTTTTAGGTTGCAGATCAGCCTTCAAAGCTGATCTCCAGATTACCCTGGCAAAGTTGACTTTCGGTCGCACCTAGGGTCTTTCAGGAGAAATGGTGGCACCAACCGCACCAACTGATTTAAACTACAGTGAGTGTGCAGCTCGCTTAGTACATCGTATATGACAGTTGCATATTCAACTACCCCGACAGAAAATACCCCTAGCCTACCTCCCCCCTGGATTAGCCCAATGCTGGCTTGTTTTACTCAGAGCAGAGTTTCACGCACCACTGCAAGCTCAATACAGCGGCCTACCTAAGGTACTGTGACACTTAGACAAAGCCGAAGTCATAGAACGCAACGGTAGGTGTGAGGCCGTTAGTATTGACCGACTCAAACCTGTGCACTTGGAGGGAACCGTCACTCCCTTTAATGGTCCCCCGCCCTTTGGGCCACCCGCAACTCCCGTCCCGAAAAGTCCTTCTCCCTTCACCCCGGTAAGCCCCACAACACCCTTGGAGCAGGCACCTGAGCCCGAACCTGTCCATCGGATCACCAGTTGTGGGAGCGACTTTAAGCTATCTGTACTTTTTGTCTTGTAAGACGTTCTTGCACTTACCAGCGTACATATACATTTAGACTGCGATATAAAAATATATAATTTTTCTTTCACCTGTGTATTCGTATATGCATGCAAAAACAAAAATAAACAAAAATATCCCAAATCCTTATGTCATTTTTAAAATTTGTTTCCACCAGGGTTTACATTTTTGCGTATGCACAGACATTTATAAAAACGACAAAAATATCCACTCAATAGAAACTTAAAAACCTTGCCCGTTTTTACTGTTTTTGTCTTCGCCTCATGGATTAGCTCCAGTAAGGGCTGCTTCAACCTTCAGTCTTCCTTCCTCTCCCAGGATCTGACCTTAACTCGGGAGGAAAGCTTCCGCCAACAAACTCGAAAGGAAAACTTCAGTCAGGAAAGTGCAACCAGAAAGACGATGAGCACGTTTGCCCATCCATTCCACGGCTCTGGCACAATATGGATATCGAAGACCTTTCTCTGACAGCCCAGTCAATTTTTAATGGCTCAAAGCCAGCTGCATTGTTCCTTGTATTCTTTTCTGTGAAGACAAACCCAAACGGGGCAGGTAGCAAAACAGCGACAGGCCTGCAGACGTTTTATCATGATATTTTCTCCTGGATCAGCATCCACTGCAACATCAGTTGGTTTCCGATATTTCCGTGACAACCCATCAAGCAATCTAATATTTTGGATTATTTAACCACAGTGAATAATGCATGCACCTTTATCTAAGACTATCCCCAGCCTTCTAATGGCGGAAGTTCTGTAGTGACACTAACCAACTCCCATTCTACATGTACACTTTCTCCTTTGCATCTCATTGTTTTATCACACCATCACCTCTTTGGTTAGCACGTATTTGCTTTCAATTTCCGCACGCTGGCTCACGCTTCCGCACCTCCTTTCTTGCTCTGCAGATTATAACAATACAACCGTTCTGCTTTTCGTGAAATTTCTGGTTCTGCTTTCAAACGAACGCTTGTTTGCGGTATGGTCGTATTATCTCGGGATATCGTTAGGCTATCGCCTGCGATATTAGTTCGTGTATTTTAGACAGTCATTTGGCTTTTGTTGGACGAAACAGACTGATGTAGTCAGGTTTGTAAAGTTTGCCATCCCCTAGATGACCAAGACATTCAAAATGAGAGGCAGACCATAAAGGCTTCTCGGGATTTACGGCACAAGTTTTACTAAGAATCCTACAAAAACTTTCGAGCAACCGTGCGTCATGAGAGGATTTTTCCAGAGCATGAACAATAGTGTCATCTTGATATACTTGATATACGCAACTCGTAGGTCAGCTCCCGAGGTCTATGGCCCCGGGTTTACGTTGTATGGTATG